CCTGGGGCCTTTCCTTTCGTGAGACTGAAGATCCCGAAGTGCTTTTTCATCTGTGCCTTTCGTTATCCATCGTGATGCTTGGCTCCTGGTGAACAAACCAGGTACCATCGTTGTCATGTTGCTCTTAGGTTCAAGCATCTTATTATAGCCAGAGCAAGCCCTAATCTTGAACCTGACTGCATTTTAATTGTTACTTAAATAATTAAAACCACCAAAAGTACAAATAATTTATAATTTTACCTCCTTTTTTCGAAACCAGGTAACAAAATCCAAGCTCGAGTAACCATCCCCTCCACGTAACCTCCCCTTCATTTGAGCCACCCTTCTTTGGCCCATCACATGCTGTGTGAATTTTCGTCATTGCCTTATTATGAAATGTTGTATGGCCAGAACTCAACTCTTTCCTCTGTCTTTCGGAAATGTGCTCAGTTGAGGTTCCAACTTCTATAGCACATATTACCTGCCACACTCAATACTTAGTCTCTGTTATAATTGTTTTCTATGTAGGTGTTTTCTATTTCTAAATAGCTGTTTAACTGTTTGTTCCTCCAATAAGATTAACAGCAACCAACCAACTTTTCTTTTTATAGTCAAGATATTTATAGTGCACGTGTAAGCAATTTCAAACTAAGCATTCAAATGAGCTTTTAAATATAAAATAATTGAACTTTTAAGTGGCATTCACATGAGTTCACTTGGCAAGTATTAAAACTCCACCATGTGTCCGGCTCTGTGTTAGAAACAAGGAATTCGCAGATTGAAAACAAAATAAAGAAAACTAGAATGGCAGAACAGAGATGACTCCGTCTTCCCTGCCTCTACAGTACCCAGTGCATAACCCCGGTGCTGTGTTGCAACACCCTGAACGTACACACGGCCCTCTCTTTGGTGTTCACACCTCCAGGACAGGGAATGAGTATTATAATTTTATGTTCTCAGGGTCTGGCACAATCCTACATTTTTGGAGAATGTTTGGAATGAACTGTTGAACTGCACTACAGTGTAATTTGAAAATGTTATAATGGAGCCTGTATGGGTACTGTGGGGGGACAGGAGAAGAGGTACCCAGCCTATTTTTTTCTCTCTTGGCCAGAACAAGCCCTTCTTGCCAAATGACAGCCCCGTCAGACTGCATTTGGAGGCAGTTTCACTTGGACAGTAATTTTACTTAAACCGATATTGGCAGTCCTCGTTTCGTGGATTGCATTTTTGAGGAGGCATGTAATTTGGAAGCATGTAAATTGGCTAAACCAGGGTCTTATATTTCTGTGCAAGGACTTAAAGCCCAAATTTTTCTAGAAAAGACTTGTGTTTAGTAAACTTTGATATACTTGATTTCTTATACAGTATAGTTTTCTAAGCTTTATCAGCCTACTAAAAACTCATTTATGAAATGGACATAGAGATTTTTCTGAAATGTCATAGAGTTGCTATTTCTGAGAAGTAGGCCTGCTATGCCATTAAAGTAAGGAAGGGTATTTCTGTATTTTCTTTTAACCCTTCTGCATTGTTTTGAATTTTTATTTATAATGAGAATGTTTTACTTTTATATTAAGAATGAGTTAATAGAGTTGATGGAAATCCCAATTATTTAAGGATAAGAAGTTTAAGAGGTTTTGGGTAGAGTAGCTGTAGGTTGGTTTGGGGAGAGGCAGTATAGGACTGTGGGTCCCTACAAATAGTGGTTTTCTCCAAAGCAAAAAAAAAAAAGTAGTCTCAGGGGAAATGGCAGAAGAGGGTAGGGTGTCATGGATGGACAAGGAGCCGGTGAGGAAAGGTTTTAAAGTGAAGAAGCATGTCCTGATGGACATTTCTTGGGTAGGTGATTAATGCAGGTGCTAGCTTTAAAAAGCTTTTCGTTCTCACCACCACCATCACCAAAAAAAGTAAATAAATTAAAAATTAAAAATAAATAAAAATAAAAAGTTTCCCATTCATGAGTGGCTGTGATTAGATGAGTTGTGTCAGTTCAGGATGTTGAATGTATAGGCCGCAGGTGTTAGTTTTCTGTTGTGGAAAAGAGTGACTGAGACCAGGAAGGTCAGCAGGGCTTCTGATGTTGGGACTTGGCACCAATCAGAGCTTTTCTTTAAATAAATGCTCTACTGAATAAAAAATAATTTATTTTTTTCCTTATAATTTGAGTGAAGGAAAACAATACCATCAAGAGACGGGCAAATGATTGCATAATTTGAAAGATAAAGCAGGTGCAGCATGATCAACTAAGGGGTGTAATTTCATGCACCCAAATCTAGAAAAATTGGGATGGGATAATATTCCTTTATTCTTGCCTCAAAATCCAAAGAATTTATTTTAGAATGTTTAATAAAGTTTTATTGTCTATAAATTTTAGTAGGTCACAAATGTATATTGCAATGATTTTGTGTGCTTTACTTTAATACTAAATGCATCACAATTATAAAAGATTCATATAATTCAGAAATATATAATTTTAACGTGTTCCAAAATTCTACCAATCTTTCCCAAATTAGCCTCTCCATACACCATCATGCATGTATGATTTCATTATATCATTGGCTAGATACCTTGCAACTTGACTTTTTCACTTAATTCTAGGTCTTTGTGCTTACTCACGGTCATTGCTGATAATTCACCTCATGCTTTGTCATGGTTGTCATATTCTACAATTAGAACACATCAGATTTTTATTCTATTTAAATTTGAGGACAAACAATCAAGCTTTCTTCTAGAAGGATTTATGGCTGAAGACGTCCTAAGGGACTTTACAGAGAATGATAGGTATTTCAGAAATTCTGCATTCTGTGAACTGGTATTAGGAGCATGAAACAAAATGAGGAAAAAGAGTTACAGGTAACAATAAAGATCAGGAAAGGACCTTGTAAAATTAATTCCAAATGCTTATTGCTATAACGTTGTGGCCAAAAAGATTACTGGTGCAGATCATGTTTTAAAGAAAAATCAGACTTTCTAGATAACAATTGATTTATGAAGTGTATAGTACTCTTTCTAAAATATAAATGCTTTGTTCTTTTCATCCTTAGTTCTGTTTTATCTTTGGAATGTTTATCATTATTTCTTGGGAAATAATTCTGCTAACAGGGAAGGCTGCTTGCTTAAAAAAAAAAAAGTAACAAGAAAACCAGCAATTTGTGGACATTATGGTCATGTATTTTCACCATGATTAAGAAGCTACTGACCAGCTATAGACCACGGTTTTGTTAAAATATATGTTACAGCATTTAAGACTACAAATGAACCTTTTATGAGGTGATAAAGTGTTCTGTGCCCACCATCCTCCCCGAAAAGAGCAATACTATAATTTGACTATGGACTTTCACCCACACATAGCTAGTTTTCCAATTGTAAATATGGTAACATTTTAGAAGTTGAATTAACTGCTTCATGGTGGTCATTTAATACATGAAGACCTGTTTAGACTCAATGTTGAAAGGTGAAGAGTTGCCATTTTCCCTTTAAAGGTCTAGAAACAGTCATTATTTATAATTTATTTTATTTTATTTTAATGAAATATATATATTCAGCCTCTAATTCTACTTTCTGGCTTTATTTTCAAAATTTTAATATTCAGTGATTTTACGTTTTGGTTACTATTTTCTATTCCATTATTTCTTTGCTTGCAGGAGCTATATATTTTAAAGCGTTTCTGAATCATTAAAGCTCTAAACACAGCACTGGCACTCAGAGGCTTGTTAAATGAATAAAAGCAATGCTATGGAGTTTTCATAGAGCTTTACATGCTGTTAATTACCATCAATTAAATCTGTTGCAAGTAATAATGTACTATAATCTGTTGAAAAACCTGACCTTTCAATTAACCAATCCTCTAACCTTCTCTCCTTTCTTCTGAAGAGTAGTTTAGAGTACACTTATTTTTCCCCGTGCAAGCCAGCTATCTCTGGCCCAGATATTACTGGCCTATCAGGGAATCTGACCTAGAAAGCAAGATAAAGTATCGCTTCTTTTTTACACCTTGTTGTAATGTGTGTTTAGTGGAAAAATACATGTTTCTAATCTATTGCTTCTATCTGCAGACTGCCTATATGAGCCAGTCAATTTACATATAGTGTTACACCTTCTCACAATAGCCTTGCGACGACATCCCTGTTATATACAGAAGGAGATAGAGGCTCAGGGAGGTATGTGGTTGTCCAGAGGCACAGAGCTGGAAAGGGCTGATCTGGGGTTCAAACCCAGATGTAGCAGGCCTGAAAGCACTCCTGTTTCAGAGACTGCTCCTAGTGAGATTCAGTTAGCGGGTTACAGAACAAGGAGAACAGATTTCGGAGCAATCAGTTTTGGGGGCTTTCTGAGCCAACTCAACTACTACTAAGCTATATGACTTACTGTCTCTTAGTCTCAAATTCTTTATTTGCAAAGTAGGGATAGTACTGCCCGCCGTGTAGGATTATTATGGAGACTAAATGGAAATGCATGTAAAGCCTTTGGCACATTGTGTGTGTGTGTGTGTGTGTGTGTGTGTGTGTGTGTGTGTTTAAATGACCTAAACTACCCGTCCAAGTTAAGAAACCCTCTGATGAAAGTAAATGCCAGCATTGACCAACATAAACAGACTTTTAATTTACTATCCTGAAACAGAAGATACTGATTAGAGTAGTCCTTTTGTGTTTTCCATTGTAGGTCTTTTGAAGAGCAGAACAGATTTCAATCCCAGCAGCAATGTAATTTGTAGTGGGGGTGTTTTCTTTTCCTTTTACATCCTACTTAATCCCATTTGGAGTTACAAAAATTTGTGAAGGGTCTCATGGCTGCCGAGGGCCATGGGCTGGAATTGTCTTAGTTTACTGATGTGGTGAGCTGTTGCAAGAGGTAGGAGTGACTTAGAATGAGATGAAATTAAGAAACACATAAGTTGAACACATATTTCTCTGACCACTAGAATTTCAATTAATCTGATGAGTTTGTGAACATTTTATTTGCCAAACAAGTGCATTTCTTTGACTAAAATTTTCTCTTTTTCTCTTTAAACTTGTTTTTAGGATGCAGAATAGAAAACTGTGATTCTTGCTTTAGCAAAGATTTTTGTACCAAGTGCAAAGTAGGCTTTTATTTGCATAGAGGCCGTTGCTTTGATGAATGTCCAGATGGTTTTGCACCATTAGATGAAACCATGGAATGTGTGGGTGAGTAGTTTTTCGTGTAACTTTCAAAGTGCAACTTTTGACACCTGTTTCTTGAGGGGAAAAAAAGCATGCTGGATATATTCAACCTAAAAACAAATTGGTTCTCATGTCTTGTTAATTAGAACTGAAATTTTAAGTTTTTTGCTGACTTTCTGAATTCTTTAGGCATCATGACATTGGGTAGTCATATACATTACATTTTGCTACAAAATTTGATAGTTGTACATTTGCTAGATTAAATTTCAAATGCTGATAATGTTTTTGTCATAGGTTTAATACATCTATTTTTTAATTATCTTAATAAATTATTGGTATCTGTTAGAGAAAAACATTTCGTTTCAAAGAAAAAGAATATTTTCAAGCACTACCCTGTAATTAATGATTCTATCACTTTTGTTATGTATATCAATTATGGATCTTCTTAGCCATTTGTTTTTTTAATCACTGGGAAGAAAATTTTTGTGCAAAACATATTTTGATGGCTGCATGTTGCAAAGTGCATTAAAATAGATTTACTAAATTTATATAGCTCAAATGCATAATTTAATATACACATATATACTGTTTGTGAATAATGAGAAATACACATTTTATAAATTTTATTTTTTATATTTTAAAATAGGTTTTTATTGACTTTTTAGAAAGAGGGAGGGAGGGAGAGATGGAAACATCCCTGTGAGGGAGAAACATTGATCGGCTACCTCCTGACACATCATCCACTAGGGATGGAGCCCACAACCTGGGCATATTCCCTGACTTGGAATCAAACCGGGACCTCCTAGTCCATGGGACGATGCTCACTCCACTGAGCCACATCAGCCAGGCAAAATTTTATATGTTTTAAGTGTTTGAAAAACACTTTGTTGTTGTTTTTTTATCCTCACCCAAGGACATTTTTATATATATATTTTGTTCAGATACAGTGGGAGGGAGGGAGAGAGAGAGAGAGAGAGAGAGAGAGAGAAACATCGATGGGACACATCGAGTGGTTGCCACCCACACGACCCAACCAGGGCCAGGGACAAACTGCAACCGAGGTACGTGCCCTTAGCAGGAACCAAACCCAGGTCTCTCCAGACCGCAGGCTGATGCTCTAACCTCTGAGCCAAACCGGCCAGGGCACACTTTGGTTTTTATACTACTTTTTTACTGTTTTTATATGGTTTGGTTTTTATACTACCAATTAAAAGTTAAAGCCCTGTCAGTACCTGCATTCAGATGAATGCCTGGATCTATTCTTAGGTGTAATTGCATCTTCATTACTCCCAGCCCTCCACCCCACCCCTGAATTTTATTTGACATCTTATACATCTGATAGGATGCACAACAGAGCTATGTATTATAAGTGAGACTTCCCATCTCCTGGAAATGGAAACTTAAAAAAGAAAATTGAGAATTTTCTTTCTGCAGAAATATTGCTAAAATAATCTATAATTATATATTTGAAAGCTTGCAGAGAACACATTTAAATAAGAGGTTTATGAAGAAATGTGTACTTACGTTCCTATTTATGTGTGAGTGAATGCGTTCATATAAGCAACACCCTATTAAAAAATAGAAAAGTCACTAGAAGAGCATATTGAGAATGTTGAGTTTGCTTTTGAGAGGCAAGACCCATGCCCATTACCGATAGTCAATGGAAACTCTTATGAAACCCTTAAATATAAACAAGTTACAAAATGAGTCCTATGCATTTCCCTGAATACAAAACTTTTTTTTTTTTTTTTTTTTAAACCTGAATACAAATCTTAAATAGCTTTGAAAAAGTTAAGAGTAACCACGATGCCTACTAAGATCTGGAATACTGAAATATTGTGTGTGGACCCTGGGCCTGTAGTATGAAGAGGCTTTTTGATGGTGAATTTGTTGTGGAGATTTAACTTGATCAATTTTTGTCCTTTTATTCCCCAACCTCACCCCAAGGGATTAGAGGGTAGCCTGCTTTAACACTGTATGATTTTACAAAAGCAGATGCTAAAAGCTAGACATGTAATCTAGGAAAATCATACATTTTTTAAAATATCTAACCATACTTGTTTACTTTCCAAACTGTAATAATGTGTAGCACCAATTGAGAGACTAAGAAACATATACTATGGTTTCCAGAAACCTATTGAAAGAATTGAGATAATCAGAAAATACAAAACAAACATCCTACCCTTTTCATCAAATATTTACTTTCAAAATAAAACTAACACACTTGTGAATTTCAGGGGAGGCATTCGGTGTTGACCTGTGAAATGTTGTCTTTTGTTATATTATGAAAATAGCATCTTCTACTATAGGTTTTAGCTATTGAATCTTTTAGAGAACATATATTTCAGCCCCTTCCAGTAGCATCTCTTCAAAAAATGAACTAAGATACATTGAAAGTAATAGTTTTTAAATTGATTATGTTGTGATTATTGTAAATGAAAGTAACCCTATGGTTCAAAGAATTAAAGTTCCTGAAAGGCGAAAATAGATCTTTGTGGGCTGTATAGCTTAATTTTTGGTAGCTAAAGGTGGGGAGAGTATATAAATTTGATTACAGTGGAGAAAATTGATACCAAATTATTTGTGTTTGTATTTTTTTTAAATCTTTATTTAGAAGGATGTGAAGTTGGTCATTGGAGTGAATGGGGAACTTGTAGCAGAAATAATCGCACGTGTGGATTTAAATGGGGTCTGGAAACCAGAACACGGCAAATTGTTAAAAAGCCAGCAAAAGACACAATACCATGTCCAACTATCGCTGAATCCAGGAGATGCAAGATGGCCATGAGGCATTGTCCAGGAGGTGAGTTTGGATAATCACTCCCGTGGGCTGTGTGCTTTCTGAATTCACCTCTTCCTTAATCATCCTCCCCCAATAAAGAATATTTACCCATGAAGGAAACCTGATTATAACATTGGTCAGAGGATAAAATTCCACATTGTATTTATTTAAAGATAGGTGCTTAAATTGCGAAGAATATACTATTTCATTTACTTTCATGATACCTGCATAATAATTTAGAAGTGTACATTATGAAGGAGCTTTCCAAATTGAGATGTCCAAAAGCGCGTCCTTTTTTTTTTTTTTTTTGGCTAATGTACCATAAAAGTAGGTCTTATGAAATCAGGCTTTTGCAGATGTTGCTCTGAGTGAAGCGGCCAACTTTCAGCTGAGAAGAGTTTAGATTAGAAAGGTTTATGGAATCTGTAAAATCATCTGCATCATTACTAGTTGAAGATGACAACTTAAAATAAACTTGCCCAAACACTGGGAAGAATAAACATTGTCTTAATGTTACCACAATTAGCTGGTTCTCTTTGTTTTGATAATAATTTGTAGAAAACAGCTACTGGTATGTGTGTGTTTATTCATGTCTTTGTAGTAATTGTGCTGATTTGCAGTAATTATTCTGTAATAACAGGATTAGGCCCATTTACAAATTAGGAGAAGCGTACAAAGCTCAGGTGCTGGCTGAAGCTGAGTCAGTCTGTTTGAAATGTAGGTCTCAGCGCCGGCACTGTGGTTCTTAAAGCATAATCGCTTGTTATCGTTTATTTTATCACTACTGGATGCTACATTGCCAGAGATGAAGCTGAAGTTTTTCTAGTCCACAACATAGAAAAGCAAAACAGAAAGTTGTCTTTGGAAAATTGCCCTATAAAATAATCAAAACTTTTGTTTGCCTTTATTTTTTCTGTTGGTGCACTGTTTTTCAGCTTTTTGGTTATAGGCCAGAGAGAGAATATATATCTGCTTAAAATGGATTTACATCCGCATTATGCTGCCTCATAGAGAATGTCTATGATCCGTGGAGGAAGACAAACTTTTAAGACTGGAAGACTCCAGTCGGCCTTTGAGAACTATTAGATCCAGATTCAGAAGCTACTATTAGGAAGGCAGCTTTTCCTCTTGAATTAGTTTTGCTTTGCTTTGCTGGGTCTTTGAAACAAAGTTTTTTTGGGTTTGCTTTTCACTAACAAGGATGGTTTTGTTCGCTTAAACTGGGTATTTTTCAGTCAAAATATAAGAAAATATTTTCTTACAAAACTAATAAGCCACTTCTTGGATAGCTGAGAGCATTTAACCTGCAACCTCGTGCCTAAAAACAAACCTGATGTATTCAGGTATTGGAAAGAAAGACTTCCTTTGTTGTATATTGTTTATATAACTACCCTCCCCCCATTTCTCTTCCAGCAATGTGGTCCCCCAATTGTGGTTTACGTTAATAGCAAAAATTAACCTGAAAATGCTCCTATAACAAACATGCTTATGTGTAACAAGAGCCAGAATATTCCCCTCCCCTCCTAAACTATTTTGACCTAGCCCCCCGTCTTGTTTGAGAATTTCGTAGATAACAGCTAGATTGTTAACCTGTAATACCTGTAATGTTTACTGCATTCATATCCGCTGTGCTACCAACAACAGTATAGTGTCTTACAGAGAACAACCTGATGCTGTCAGCAGTTTAAATTATGCCAAAACAGATGCATATGTATCATCTGCTAATATTCTCCTTTTGATCATCAGTAATGAAGTCTGATTTAATTTGTATTTATGTTTTATCAAGTAGTATTTATTAGGAGAGACTGGCTATTGTTTTAATCCCCACATCTACATTTTCAGTTTAATAAATTCAATTTTTATATAACCTTTAAAGTTAGTAGGTTTAAAAGATTATGGGGAAATTTGTTTTATTGTTCTATATTTCATAGGTAGGATTGTTGCTAGAAATGGAAAATTACTCCGCAATAACATAACTTCTATTTAAAAATGTAAGAAATTACTACTAGAAAATTAATTTTGGAACTTGAGCACCAATTGAGAAAAATTGGCATAACTTCCAGTGGAGTAGCCCACCTTGCCTCAGGTGAGAGAGCAAAACGTTCCTTTCTTCGGGAGGTCACGGTGATTAATGGAAGAATGGAGAAGAAAACCACTTCATCCCATTTTACATCTTGATTTGATTTTAGTGATCTGCTTTGACAAACCATGCAAAAATGTAAGTCATAATCAGGTTGGGAATACAGACGTTTTTCAGATCTTTTCAACATATGTATGGATTTTTCTCTTGTTGGAGCCAATCTTAACCTGATTGCACACAAGCAGCCTTAACCTCCTTCACACTAAAGCACCAACACATTAACATCAGCTGCTTTCGATTACTGGAAGGCAGGAGTTAGAGGTCAGCGCAATGGAATAGTCACTAAGTGTGTAAGATATTCCATCAAAAACTACTAAAAATAAGAAAATAAAGGGATGCAAGATTTTACAAAAACAGTGCCATGGTACAGCCTATATCCTCCCTTATTGGTCATATGCTTATTTGCTTTTAAAAAAGGAAAGATTCTCTGAAAATATCCTAAGTCATGGATTGATTTACACTTGAAGTTACTTGGTGTTCCTTCCCAGACTTTTTCCAGTTATCTTTTCTGTCATGGCTGATGACTATAACCTGTAGAGTTCCTTGGGATTTGCTGACACTCATTTTTCCAGATTCTGTGCTGGTGATCAGGAGATCTGAGTCTCTGTACCCTGTCAAGTCATCAATTCTGTGACCCTTGGCAAGTCACTTAACCTCTTTTGGCCTCGATTTCCTCATTTGTAAATTGCAGAGCATTAAGGTAGGCGAGCTCTGAGATCCAGTCCAGTTCTAGAATCCAGTGGCTCTCAGATTAATTGTCAGAAGATCCAGGCAAGTTCTGTGGTCATGTGAAGGGTGTGGAAGAGGCTTGTAAGCACACGGGTGCTGTTTCACACCAAGGAACTGGACACGTTTCCAGTAGCTGCCCTAGGCACTTGCCAAGCCTTTCGCATCTGGCAGCTTTCACCCCGTTTTGTGCTTCCCTTTCCTTCTCACGCAGTCAACCCTCAAAGACTAGGCGAGACTTTAAATCCGTTTGTGACCTGAGGTTTAGCCACCAAGAGAGCAGGAAGATAGAGAAAGGGGAAGAAGGGCTTGAAAAATCATGGAAAAGAAAGAGAAAGATGGATAGTGAGTGACAGGGAAAATACATTGCACAAAGAATATAGGAAACAAGGGGAAAAAGAATGAACTACTTAAAAATGAAGGCTGTACTCACTGCAGATACAACTCTCTTCCCTTCCTTCCACCCTCAGCTCACTAAGTAATAGAATTCACCATGTTGGTACTAATTTATTCTAGTAATATGTAACCTGAATCTTTAAATGAAAGGAATTTCAAGCCTGAAAGTTGTTATCTATTAGGCAGTAAATTAATAGAAAATTAAACATGCTACTGTTATATATTTAAATGACAAACGGAAGAACAAAATCATGGTTGTGGAGCTACCAAGTTGAAAGATGCCCATGTCCTGAAGGAAATGCTGACATTTAGAGGTGGCTGTACTCATCCACTCCTTCACAGGGTTGGCCAATACACCCTCAACCTGAAATATTCTGTCCTGTCTGTTTGGGACTCATTATTTTATAAGGTCTCATGACAGCTCATTTTAATTTATTCATTAGATATTTATTGAGCATGGCTATGTATTAAGCTATTTCTAAGGGGAGTCATGGCAATAAAGAAGTGTATGAGTGTGTAATTTCATGTAAAGAAAAATAAAGCAGGATAAGGAGCCATTGAGAGTTGGTTGGGAGTGTCTATTTTGTGTAGGGTAGTCAGGGAAATTGAGGGAGTAACATGTGACTAGAGATCTGGATAAAGGAGCACTTTTGATAGACCTAAGGAAAACTGTTTAGCTACTGGCTCAATGGCTGTGTTGTGTGGCTGTCTCGATCCTCACTCTACATGAGGGAAGAAGAGGGAACTGAGATTTAGGGAGGCTCTGACTGGACCAAGGTGATGCATAGCAAGTTTCTAGTGGTGGAGCCAAAAGTAGGACCAATATTTTGCTGCCTAGGAAACCCAAGATTTCCTGTGCCTTTTTCTTGTTCCTTGCAACAAAAGTCAAAGATGAAGCCATGGTTGTCTGTCATCAAAGTAGCCAACTTTAAACTGTTTCTCCCTCAGACACTTCATTTTACTTTTGCTCTACCTTTTGAAACATGGCACCCTGTCACCCCCCCCCCCCCCCAACATCTTCCTACTTGAAATAACTAGTGGGACATACTCTAAAGGTCATTTCATAAATGCCAAAGTGTGGAGCTATTCATTGGCTTTGCTTTGGTTCAGCTTCCCCTACTAAGACTTCTTCTCCTATAATTTTACTATCATTGGTCCTCTGTTTGTTGGGGAAAAAAGAGTGGCTTCATGATTGTTATTGTCATCCCTAGTCTTTCAGTCACCATCTAGCTGAGGGTGCCTGTGTGGAGAGCTCCAGCCGGGTTTCAGCTCTGGCCCTTGCTCCCTGGTCCTCACGAAGCTGGTTTTTCTCCTTCTGACCCACTTAAGCAGTCAGACAGTTAAAGTGATTTAGGGGATGCCTTGGCATATGGTCAGATAGCTTTTTTGACTCTTGGGGTCTGGGTGCCTCACCTCACCACACCGCAGCTGTTAGTAACAACATGGTGCAATTCTTTAAGCCTTAATCACATTTCCTAGGAGTGGGCTAAACTTTAAATATGGAATCTGCTACTACATACTATTTCAACTGGAAAATAACGTATTCCTTTTCTGAGACCTTACTTGACCATTATCTATGTTTTATAAAAGTGGCTTTTAACTTGGTAGGAAGCAACAGAAAATATTATTTAGCAATTTAAACCCTTCATTTCAGCAAACATCTACTTTTAAAAAGCAATAGTAATAAAACCTCTCTAATCTTTGTTTTCTGTATATAAATTGACAGCAACATATGGACTAGGTTAGGTATTAGATAATA